GGGAGGAGTGGGGGAGAGAGACAGAGACAGAGACAGAGACAGGCAGAGATGCTCAGGACAAGACACGGTCCCTAAGAGCATGCCCTTGTGCTCCACTCCTTTCATTAGGCTCCGCCTTTCAATTTTCCATCAAATCATAAACCTATCAATGGATTAATCCACTGAAGAGGGTAGAGGTGATCTATCACTTTTCAAGAGTCCATCAGCTCCAACACATGAGTGTTGGAAGACACATTCTATCCAACCCATAACTGGTATCAGTGGAATAAAGTTAAAACCAACCCAGTACCTCTTAATTTTCAGATTTCATAGCTTTGTACAGAATGGTTTTACATTCAGACTTTTAAAAGTTTTCCTTTATATTTATTAGTTCTCCTTACTGCATATTAGTTTGACAAAGGGGACAAATATTTACTTGAAAACATTATTTTAAAATTTCAGGACACAATTTTATTTAATACTCAAAAGATTTCAGGAACAAAACTTGTTTCATTTTTTTTTTTATAGTATCAACTATAAAACGAGCCAAGGAAATATCAATACCACAATAAACCTCTTGGTTCCATTAAGGGCAAGCTTTGTGTGTATATGTTTATTGCAATATGCTGTTAGGTTTATTTGTTTATATTAAGACTCAGATGTGACTTTTTAACCTATCTTCATTTAATTTTATTTTTAAATTTAAAATATTATTGTTTCAAAAGCAGTATTTCCTTCTTTTCACAATCCCTTCTCAATCCATTTCACTCATGCCTAATGGTGAATCCATTGCTGATTTATTTTGTGTAAATATTTGTTCCTCTGTCTACATCTAATTTGTCAGTCTATCTTTATGTGTCTATATCTTCCCGTCTTTTTCCTCGTTTTGATTGTAAAAGGTACTGTATTTATATGCTTTGGTGTCTTGATGCTTTTGGTAATTTTTTTTCTGGAAAATGGTTATGTCTCTCTTCAGAGAGATTTTCATCATTTTAACTTTATTATTATTTGCTAACATGTCTGCATGGGCTTTCAGTACCTAATTCATCTAATGTTCTATCCATGGACCACACAATTTCCACGGCATTTAAGATACAAGGGGGGCCAGGGATTTAGCTCAGTAGTTCGGTGGCCTGATTTGCAAGAGCAAGGACCCGAGTTCAATCCCCAGTACCAAAAAAAAAAAAAAAAGATACAAGAAATATCACCAGAGATAAAACACATTTCCCCACCATCTTTCACAGCAGGTGTATTTTTAAGGTAAATTCCCAGAAGAGACTTCCAAAAGTAAGTGTTCCTTTCCCGGCATTTGGTCAGAAAGGGTGGCTTCCCTGTTCCTGTGTCTCCCCTGGCAGTTCCAGGTTGCAGACTTCTGTGTGGCCAGCTTCAGCTTAGATGGAGAAAAGTGAGAACAAGCACGTTCATCCCAACCTTCTTCCTATAGCCCTGAAGCCAGTAACCTCTTTGTGTTCTGTCTTCTTTCTCAGAGTCCTTTTATCTTAATCTCTGATATTTACTTGTATTTAGCACAGTGAAGCAGAGAAATGTAAGCCTATGTCATTTTACCTCAGAACTGCAGAGAAAATATGCTAGATTTCCACTCACAGATTCATTACTCATAGCGGTGATTTTAAGTCCATAAGTCTGCCTCCTTCACCCAGGGTCCATTAAGAAAAACAAGTCCCCTTTAATATTTGCATTTCCCAAAGACCTTGAAACCCTTCCTTGCCATTAAAGCACAACGTATCTGACATCTCTAGCTTGCCACTGTGGATCATTTTGGTTTATTTACAACCAACCAACCAAGCTGTCAGAGCCTTCCCTTATTTCCAGAACTACGGCATTCAATCAGCAGTCTCTACTTAGCCCGCATGAATAAATGTAGCTTGATTCAGCTCAGTGTGGCTTCCACCATTATTTCACGTCCTTGGAGTCTATTCCTACATATATCCCCAGGTCTAGGCCTTTATCTGAAAAGCCAAGTTACTCCCCTGGTGCATAACACACTCGCCACTGACACCTTACGCCTCACCTTTAAAGGTTTACTGTGATTTTAGTTTGTTACTGATTTAAAAGCAAAGAGAGATGATTGAGGTGGGTCCTGAGGAGAGGCAGCATCGTCTTGCACGGCAACTGCTTCATGGGAAGTCAGTACAGATTCTTCAGGCAGTGCTGGGTTCATCCCTTCAGATGGCCTGAAAAGACCTCCAGCCCCGGGAGTGGTGACGTGCTACCTCTGAATGTGGGCACCCTACTTCTGATGAGGGGAAGGGGGCCACAGAGACGAGGGGTGGAGAGGCCTCTTCCATGGGCAGAGAGAAATCATCAGAATTTAAGTCTTCATTTTTCTCATTTTCATCAGGATCCCCTAACAGAGTCACATTGCAACTACAAGATTCCACCCTATCCCAATATAGACTTTCACTTTCATAGACATCCTGTGACAGGGAGAATACAGCTGCAGTTGTAATTTAACCAGTGAAGGATGAGATTTTGTAATTGTCCTTTAGCAATCTCAGGCCCTCAGGTACGGGAGATAAGTGTCTCCTTTGTGCAACAAGAAGTTTTCAGATATTCATGCAATGGCTTATTTAGAGTTCAAATCTTTAA